TAACACCAGAGATGACAAATGCAAGCTGATACGCCCTTGGGAGGAAGAAGAAAATAAAGAAATAGGCAAACTGTAGGAAAATAGTGGCCACCCCCTCGCCAGCAGCATCTGGAGTCAGGTTGACTTTATCTTATACCATATACACAGCCCTCTGTCACTGGAGCGGGAAATGCCCCCTCCTAGCCTGATGGCATGAAGCAGGCCTACGCATCACAGGACCCATGGACGAGTCCCAAAGATCGAGCAGCGCTCCAGCTCCATGAACCATCTGAGATGGGCAGAAGGATTGCGGGGAAAACAGGAGGGAGCCCATGGGAGGAACAGACATACAGAGGGGACGCAGGACTCACAGGACTCTGGGCACTGCTAAGTGCAGCAGCGCCTTGAAGCATCTTTTCAGAAGCAGCCTTCGTAGCCAAGTCGACGATCAGCCAGTGACTCGAATCCCAAATATACCACTTCGCATACCCTCCATTAGCGAAGTGTTGGAAAAATATTGTCCAGCTCTTTACACAAGGCCTTTTGTTGGCTGGTCAGCTTCAAAAACATTTCTTTTCTCCCCCAAGTGACAATGCTGCCATGAAAAACAGGAAGAGATTGAATACAGTAATTTGAACAGTCAAACTCTATTTCCTGCCAAAAGGAAAAGAAAACACCAGCAACAGGCAGAAGCCAGGCAATAGCTGGGGACAGGCATTTTGATTATCTTGGACAGATATTTGCACTGTGTATCCGGTAAAAGCTGCAGTGACGGAGGTGACACCTTTTCATTTCAGGGACTCGAGTTTGTTAGTCTGCGGTGCGGCAGGTGATGCTGTGAATCAGATCAGGCTGACGAAGAGACTGAGATCTCCCAGGATAAAAGCCCTGGGCTGGAACCAGTTCCTAAGCTGACAGCTGGGATCACATGCCAGCAAGACATCGTATTTGGAGCTTCGTTGCAAGCCAAGGCTCCAGCAAGGATCCCTGCTCCTCTCACACCTCCCCAGCAGACCCTGGCACGCTCAGTCTCCAACACTTTCCTCTTCTTCTTCCACCCTTGGATGTCCCACACAGCAGTTCGACTTCTCCTGAAGAGTGGAAAAGGCTCCCTTGGCTCAACGACTGAGGTTCCCTGTAGCGCAATTTTTAGTGGGTTTCAAAACGCACCTATTGTTAATTCTATTCCATACTACTGCAAATCAACACATCGCCCAGTGATCAAGTCCTGTACTGAAACAGCCCGTTTTCAATTCCTTCCTCCTCCCATACTGACTTTGTTTTAAAAATAACCAGCACTTCATAATGGTATCAACAATACTTTCGGTTAATTACGAAGCTTGGGAAGCATACTTGAACCACAGACTTCTTTTTCCAACACGAAGATTGTTTCCAGTTTTAAAACACCTTTTTTTCCCCCGAACAACCCCTCCTTCTGCAAGTACCCTGCACTTCTGTACACCCTCGCTCACTGTGCTGCGTGGATTGATGCACCGTCCTGCACCACAGGAGCTGCTGCACTTCAGTGATGCACAAAGCAGTTGCTAGATAGAGGAAGAGAATGAATGTGTCCTCTGTGGCTACGGAAGTAGTAATGCCTTCAATATCAGGAAAGGAGATTTAGATTAGACATAAGGAAAAGCTTCCTGGTAGCAAAGACAGATCATCTAGGGAGAGAGAGGAATCTCTATCACTGGAGGTTAAGAATAGGTGAGACAAACATCTGTCAGGAATGCTATAAGGAAGGCAGAAGGGCAAACCAGATGACCTCATAAGGCTCTTTTTTCCCAGCCCCATTTTCCTCTGATTGTATGAATTTCTAAGCATTTCGGGTCAAGCATACCGTTTAAATATGAGTTATTATCATGTATTTGCAAGGTACTGACAGAGAAGAAAACCAGAGAGGTATTACCTGGAGCTATTCATCACCTGAGTGAACATCACCAATTTGCAAATCAGCTGCCCAGTCATAAAAATTGATCGGGTTTCCCTGATTTATGCTGAAGATTAAGAGGAGGACAGCTGTAACGTCGGGGCGGGGGGGAACATGCATTGAGGATCTTCCCTTCATCTACGGGCTTTCACGTTTCCCAGTCTGAAAATTCTGCTGTTACCCTGCTGAAACCTGCAGCGCCTGGTTTAATTCCCTCAGACATGCACTGTCAGCATGACAGAGGCACAGACTCATTACACAGTTGTGCTTCCATCCTTTGCCGTCACACCAGGTTTGCAAACCAGACCAGGGCAAGTCCCAAGGACATCCAGTTCTGCAGGACATCTGGAAACACGGTGTCTCCAACTACTCATTGACTGTGACACATAGTGCCTTCAACCCAGCTTGCTGGCAGGTCCTACCTGACCTCAGCTGTCCCAGCTCCAGCTGCACCAGCAAAGCTGCCTGACCGGAGAAGCTGCAGACTCTGCGCTTTCCTGCTCCAGCCAAGCGCATTGCTCCGCCACCTCCCCGCAATTATTTGTGCACATAGTGCAGGCTAGGAGAGCCATGCCAGGAACAGTCCCTGAGAGACTCCACTTGCCCTGAAGTGACCTTGAACAAGCATTACACCAAGGCAGAAACAGGAGCAGATTCACACACAGACCCTCTCTGAGTCAGTTATTGCCCTGTTAGAAAAATATGTGATGTCAAAAGCCAGACCTGACCGTGCTCCGGGATGCAGGGACAGTGTGGTGAGCCCAGCTCCAGACTCCATGGTCCTATGGTCAATATCACAAAGAAAGACTGGACTATGTCTTCTAACAGGTTTTCTCTGCAATGCTGGATGGAGCTTTCCCACTGCTTCTCTCTACCTATCTGCTAACTGGCAAGCGTATCAGCTGTATCCGTTCACATGCAGGATTTCAGCTGCTGGAGGCAGGGCAGCAAAGTCGAAGTTCAGTTTCAGCCTTGAGCACAGGCAGGCTAAACCTCTATCTGCACCAAGAGAGAAACATTTGTCCACATAAACCAGCGACAGTCACACTGGTGGCTTTGTAACCGCTTTTATACCTGCTGCAGGTACATGTACTAAAAGGGAGAGGAACAATGCAATAGCAATGAGGACATAAGCAAAGGAGACAAGGCCCTCACAGACAGGTATCCCGTCTCTAAAATACTTCACCATCCACCAAATGTTTTCCAAGCTTAGTGGCTGAACTCTGCAAATCTTATAGCAGCCAAATCAGTAATGCCTCGTCTCTTGGGCAGCACAGCTGAACTCAGACAGGGCTTGCCAGCAGCTCTAAGTAAACTCAGTTTAAGGAGAGCACAGCCCACAGCTGTTACACTTTTCAGAAGTCTTTTTTTTTTTTTCAGGGCTCTCCAGGCTCTTTCTCCAGCTGCGAAACATTAGCATCTCTGCTTTACAGAGAAGAAATGCGGTCACGAAAGTGCTGTAGCAGTTTTCCCTGGTTGTGTCACCCAGTCGCTTGTTCCTTGTCCTCTCCCCAACCTCTGCAATCCTATGCCTCCAAATCCTATCAGTCATCTTCATCTAGGAGTCACCAAAAGGGGCACAAGGAAGCTGTTGGCCTTTCTGCTCGTGTCTAAAGCCACAGGAGCCGGGTGACTGATGGGCTCCAAACCTCCTGATTCGAGAGGTCCAATATTAAAAGCATCTATATGGAGCACAAGCAGACTTGATCTGCAAATACATGGCAAGGCTTAACAGTTCAAGAAAGTAACTCCAACGGGAAACAGCTTAAATCTAAAGCCAGCTCTTTGAATGTGCAGCGGTCGTGAGGTAAAACAAAAAAATCAAAGCCAGACTTGGGTATAGTCTGTCTCCCTGTGCAATACTCCATATGGAGTTTTGCTACTGAGGCGGGTCTAGACAGAAGAGAGCCCACTGAAAAGAAGAGCCTGAACCTCCCCACCTGCGGCACAGGGCTGAGAGAGCAGCGTGAGCTCACACGATGATGCTGAGGGCACAGGTGTAAAAGGGGATTAGGACAGAGTAAGTCGGGATCAGTCTCCTCCTCCTTCTGTGCTTCTCTCAGTCCCTCCTCGTCCAGCAAAGGAGCAGCAGCAGGGATCCCCCAGTAAAGGAGCTCTGGGTACAAACAGTGCTGGAGCGACCTCCCACCCCAAGTCCTGCCTCTGCCATGAGATTATGGGGCAGAAAAGCACTCTGGTGTTTCTCCGTATTCCCTTTGCTCAGACTTGAACTTGCCTCTCACTTGAAAGAGCTAATTAAGGCAGGACATCAAAGCCCAGAGAGGCAACGAGTACAGCAGCCTGGATGCAGCACAGGCTGTAATGCTGATTTCTGTGCATCGTATCAAAGGCGGCGCTATACCAGCTAGGTTGACGCAGATTTCTGCAATGGTAGTTTACTGAATTGACGGAGTAAATAAGATAATTTCTTAAGATGATTTGTAGGTCAGGTAGATCAATCTCTCCCCTAATCCGACCCTTAAATCTTGTAGCATTTAAACATTGATTTGTAGCCAGACCTTAATTTTTCAGTGCACAGACAGTGCAGAGCTGACTAGAAACAGGAAGACAAGGGACTTTGATGGTTAATGACCAGTACTTCTTAGTCCTAGAAGAAATGAAGCCTCAGCTTCACAAAGCTCCCTGAACAAATCCTACTCCAGCTCCAGCTCAGGAAGATAAAATTCCACTAGCAGACACAGAAACCAGCACAAGGTGTTGACATTATCTAAATCCTATTTTGGTTAAGGTATGAGGCAAGACTTCAGAAGGAAGCATGATTTCACCCATAATGAATTACACAGCGAAAAACCAAGAGCGGGTCAATTCTTCCTAAAGACTGCAAGGCCCCTTGGCTTAATTCATTAACAGTCATAACATTCCTGGGAAGTCAGAAAGTGATATCTTCCTCTGCTCATCCATGAGCAAACTGAGGCATGAACTGGTTAAATTAGGTCATGTGGTGAGCTGGAGGCAGAATCGCGACTGGAACAAAGCAGGCTCAGTTCCTCGTTCCTTGCCCTAATCACTGAGCCACTCAACAAACCCATGAAGAAGTTAAGCTTAGTTGGTTAGACGCTTGACTTACCGCACTGCTACAGGGAATGTCCTTGACTTTGAGCCAGGCCAAGTCTAACGTCCCCTCACCCCTGTAGCAGGATTGCAGTCTCTCCTTGATGCGGTCGTTGATCTTTTTCAGGACAAAGATGCAAAGAGCAGACTCATCCAAGGATTTCATCTTCCTTTTCTGACCTTTGGAGAAGACTGTGAAGAGAATATCGTCCTCAGGGCTGACACCCAAAGACCTCGCTAAGATGGCTCCAGCCTTGGACAAGTAGGCTGCCTGAAGCAACCGGTACTCCACTCCATTCTTCTCACAGCCGATGGGCACCTCAACGTAGGAGTTAAAGGCTGTGTCCTCCTTGCACAGCCGAACCAGCTTGGAGGTGTAAACCTGCTCCTTCGTGGTAGAACCAGGTGGTGAAATCATCTCAGGTTGCAGAGTTAAGAAATAGACAAAGTTACCACTGCTGAAGCCATAGATGTAGTAGATATCAAAGTCAGGGATGATGGTGAAGGTATCCGAGGGGATCTTGATCATAGATGCCACAAACTCGTCATGGAAGACGTATGCAAACATCCCATCTGCCTCGGAGTTTTTGGTGAGCTTTCTGCTGGAAATAGTGGGGAAATACTCAGGCTTGCCATCCACGGCAGTGGCAATGAACAACTTGTCATCCATGTTACTGTAAGAAACAATGACTCCAAAAACAGAGCCACTCTCGTTCACCCCAGAGAGGTAATGCTCCTTCTTGTGGAAGGGCTCTCCCAGTTTGAAGAGATCATCCAGCCTCAGAAGCTTACAGATGCCCTGGTAAAGACTCCCACAGGCTATCAGTCGGTTTTCCTTGTAGTCTATGAGGAGCATTTTGTTGATGTTGTTAGTGGGAGTCAAAGGTTCATTGCAGGTTTGAACTATCCTAGGAGGATAACACTTGGGATTATCTTCATCAGGACCAGTCTGATGGGTCACCAGGACCTTCAAGTCACTGGAGAGTTTATAGATCCTGTTGACAGCTCCCAAGTAAATAAGCCCAGTTCTTTCATCAACCACCAAGTGATTAAAGGTTCCCTCTGCTTGGTCTCCACTGAAAGTGATGAAGGGCCTCTTTGGGTGGGGTGGCTGCTGCCTAGCAAGAGATGACACTGTGGCAGAGAGCAGGAGGTGAGAAACCAGGCAAGTCCATTTCCACATGGCTGGTGGCATGATTAGAAAAGTTTGTATTCCCAAGAGAACAAGGATTAAAAGCTGTAAGTGTCTTCAAAACACCAATTCCCTGGCAGATTTTGTCCTACAAGCAAAGAGAAAAGAAAACAAAAGTACATTACTGTGGAGTATTTTTTGCCTCCTCCTTCCTTCACAACCGTGTCATCATCCGAGCATGTTTAATTGCTAATCCTCCCTTTCTCATCTCTGAGCTCTCTACTGAGAACAAGCACAAAGGCAACCCTCCTGAAAGAAACGATGCTGGTAGAAAGAGCAGTAATCACATAGCAGAAAAATAAATCTGCACCCTCTTACCCTCCGTTACACAAACATGTGCCCCACAGCGCAGCACAGAAATCCACTGGAAGCTAGAGCTGTGCAGAAGGCTAATGGTAGAAACATCAAGCAATATTATTATTTGTACTACCAGCTTTGACCCATTCATTTATTTGCTGTCTAAGAAGCCAGAACTTGAGAAGGATTACTGTTCTGCTCTTCTGGATGAGGGACTGAAGCCTGGAGAAGGTCAGGGACCTGCCTACAGGGAGAAGTCCAGATGGATACTGAGTTCTTCTGCAGCCCTCCAAGTTAGCCAGGAAGAAGCCAGCTTTGTTCTGACATTTAATATTCTTTCAGGGAGATGTTGGTCCAGAATAAGCCTGTTTGAATAGGCTCTCTGTGGCTTCCAGACTTAAGCTGCTTCACGCCTGTCCAGTTTGGAGGCCAGTTTGGTCTGCCAGCGTGCAGCGCCACATCTGCAGAAAGCACACAGCCAAGCAAGGAGGGAACTGAACACCGGGTCCCCTCGTTCCTTGGACTCTCAGCGGGAGACTGCCCTCCACCCATGGCACAGCCAAGAAGAAATCATCTAAAAGAGAGATACAGTTCCACTGGTGATCTCAGAGCACTGAGGAGAAAAGGGCTGTACAACTATCAGCAGTAATAAAGTCTAAAGAACCACGAAGTAGGGAAACTAACAGCCCAGCTTTGCACCTTTGCATTGCAATTTTCAGTGCAGCCAGAGGCAAAAGGCACTAGTGTCCAGGGACTGGCCTGGTGACGCACCAGAGAGAGGGAAGGGGACTTCCTTGCACTGCTGAGTCCCTAAAGTCTCCTGCATTTTAACCAGAGCGATAGGAGCTACAAGGGGTTCAAACCACTTCTGTAATTTGGTGAGCACATGACCAAGCCCTGTCTTTGCACCATGGAAATGCATTTTTCCATTCAATATATCCCTCTGCCTCCAGCTCCTCCTCTTCCTTTTTATGGCTACTTCAGTACCAAGAGCAGCCTTGGCCCTTTTTGGCCCTGTGGAGCGTGTGGGAGGTGGAGTACTACTGCCTTGGGTCTCACCAGCAGAAGTCCCTGCTAATCATTGGCTGTGCAATGGGCTGAGGCCTCTTCCTCTCTATTCCCTGTTTAACATCAGGATCAGAATTTCACAAAACACCTCTTGCTTTTAAAAAGGACATGAGCCAAACCCCAGCTCTGAAGACCTTCGTGATTTGCATCTACTGCTTATGGGTCAGTGTCATATCACCTCCTTCAAAGAGTGACTTTCCTGAAATCAGGGAGCCGAGCAAAAGTGATGACAGCCAGCCCTGCACAAGGGCTGGAGGAGGCAGGTAGAAATCATTCCGTTTGCAAATGCAAGCAGGACGAAAGATGTGGCAATGACATAGATCTGGATTCACAGCTTTTTCCAATCTGTACAACTCTTCTAACATCACAGGAACTGCAAAATTTATTTCAAGAAATATTAACGTGAATAAATCTTTTTTTGACCTGTAGACTGATTAGATCTGGTAGTGTAAAGAATAAATCTGGGCTTGTAGAGCATCTGCTGCCAAAATATTTCAAAATTCTCACAGTAGCCAGAATTTCAAGGCGGTTGCGTGATCGCCTTCGGCTCCCACTGCTCTCCCTATCTCTGTAGCCCCGAGCATTTGATAGACAACGACCAAAGGTCATTTCACATTTACTTTAGGCATGTTTACCCTGTCCTGCTTCTCCTTTCTGGTCAAACAAATATTTAATAAAATTAAGCTTACACTGCAGAGTTCGCAAGACTGTCTTGCCAGCAAGAGGGGATTCTCCGCGGGGATACACAGGGCAGTCACGCAGGACTTTTAACAACCTTTATTACGATGGACCGAGCGACGACGGGATGAGCTCGCCCTGCACAACGATTCCTCTTTCAAAAGAGTCCACCCTTGAGAGAGTATCAGAAGAGAGAAGCTGGCCCTGTTTGAGTCCTGCTTTCAGAAACATCACGTGGTGACCCTGAACACTGGCTCCCGTCACTTATAAGTTACGATCCATATTTCTAACAGACATCGGTTTGATCAGGCACCAGCCAGACCTAGGAAGAAATTATTCTTTTAAACTACTAAGATATCTATTTTACCAGTATATTTTACTATATTTTGCTCCTCTTAGCCCTGCAGAGTCAGCGCAGCTGCAGGACAAGGAAATGGGAACTGCCATGACCTATAAACTGAAGAGCGAACTAAAAGCCCCTGTTCTGCAACAGGAGCCATCTGCCCAGAGGTCATTGCAGAGCCTGGGACTTGAGCTGCCACAACAAAAGAAAATCTGCCCATTAAAATAAGTGGCCGGCACAGCATAAAAGGAGATACACTGCCAGTCACAAAATCTTTGAGGCCCAGGCAGGTGAGAAACCCGATTGACTTTGAGATACAAAGGTGAGCCTCTCCCACATTTAGGGGTGGAGGGGGCAGCAAGGAGAACCTTCTCCTTGCAAAGCCAGTAAATTTGATCTGGAAACTAAAGAGACTCAAATGAGAAACTCTAGAGAGGCTAGATAAGTCCACTTTTGCAGCGGACAAGGGCATTTCAGAAATAATGAACCTGGTAGGCGAAGATCATCCGCAGAGGGAAGAGCCTTAACAGGCTGTCAGTGCTGGCAGCCACCAGGCAAGCACAGGAGCAACCCCTCACCAGCCTTTTGGGGCAAAGCAGGGAAACTGGGAGCCTGGAGTTATCTTGCTGTCTTCCAACAGCCATCTGAGCAGCCCTGGAAGAGGGCTTTTCTCTGCGTGCCGCTGGCACTCACCCCTTCCTTTTTGTCTGTCTGCTCGGGTTGTTTGCCCTGCATCCTGCAGCCTGGAGGCCCAATGACTGCTGGAGCCTCTAAGGGCTATAATTTGCAATTTGGGTTAATTGATAAATAACAGCAGAGGACAGAAGCAAGGAGGACTGGTTGTTTAGCTTGCGGAATAGAGCAGGGTTTGTACTACCCCTCAGAGGATGCACCAGGCAGGACTTATGCATGTCTTTCATTGCCCACATCTGGACAGGAGGAAATTACAGTAGCTGGGAAGACAAATAACATGGTGCCAGACATACCCCGTCTCTTGGACTGCTTGGCCTGCAAGAAACTAATTATAAAAAAAGCACAAATAAACAAAAGGTCTCACTGAGCAGGCAGTGAGGTCTGGGGTTAAGCTTTGATCTGGGTATTTCTAAAATAAACCCATACTAGCATCCCACAATGACCAGGCTCACCCTCTATTCCCCCCCGAGATGTGGTTAGCAGTGATGCCGTGACCTAGCATGCAGCACTCCCATGTGAGACCAGCCTGTCCCTCTGAGTGGCTCTACATGGCTCCTGCCCTCAACAGCCTCTTCATAAACGTACCCAAGATCCCCAGGAAGATCATACAGGTCCCTCAGCCCCAGGGATCAGTAAGGGAAGATCTTTTGGTGGAACCTAGCCCTCTTTTTTTCTCCTTTACTCAAACAACTGCCCCTCTGCTCTGCTGGATTTCTCATACACAGCAGGTGTGCTGAGAGGACCCTATAGGTCCCAACAGTGCTCTAAACGCATCCTCTCCAGGCTGAATCTCCTGAGTGAGTCTCTTTTCTCCAAGGACCGTGAAAGAGCAGAGATTCTGCTACCTCTTTCTCTGACCATGGTTAAAGCAGTGATGCCACACAACCTTCATGACATGCAGAGGTCCCAAAGGAAGATGACGTTCTTTCTCCAAAAGAGGAGCTACGTCAGATCTGAACCTCTACAGGGCAGAGGAAAATGGAGCAGATGAAGCCCTCTCCTAAAGCCAATCTGGCTCATACAAGGCTCTTTCCAGGAGACAGTCCATCTCTGTCCACAGTCAGCACTGTGTATGTCAGAGGAAGGTCTCAGAGTCAGCTCCCACACAAGGGCTTGCTCCACAATCTTACATTTAGACGTAGGACCTCTAGTCTATGGCTTGTAAATAATACATTCCTCATAAGACCCCTTGAGTTCACATAACTAAGGTTAAGTTTCCATCTCCAGGACAGTACGTTATGATGCTACTCTACCTCCTTACTTGTTTACTGCTGTCAACCATTTCCAAAAAGGTTGAAGACCACTGAGGTAGAGGATGCAGCTTGGTCCTGCTCTGAGCTCTCCAGGGAACACTTCCAGACTGTAAAATATGCAACCCTCTGTTCATGAGAGGGCACTCTGGATAAGAAAAGTGTGAAGTGAAACAAACCCAAGATGAAGACATTTTCCAAGTTCCTTTTAACTCATCTGGTGCCTGTGTTACTAAATGGAAAAGTCAGAGTATGCTGAGCCCATCTTCACAACCCAGTAAGCATCAAGGGAGGAAAATAAAGATGGATGCTTTATGTCTGAGGAAGTACGCTGCAGTCCCTGAAAGGAACACATCTGAGGGTGAGCATGAGAGATGACTGCATCTCCCTATTCAGCTGTCTCACATGCACACAACCCTCCTGCCACGAAAGGTGGCAGACAGATTTGAATCAGCAGATCCCGTGAGATAGCCACGTTCAGCAGCAGGGACGCTGCAAGGTCAGCAGCAAGACTTCAGGGCCTCACCAGAGCAGTCACGCACGAGAGCTTGGCTGGAAAGAGCCAAGGAAGCAAAACCCGCTTCGCATCCTGCTCCAGCCAGGAGCTCAGAGCAGAAACACCAGTTAAAATCTACAGCGGGACTGAAACAGGCCCAAAGCCAGCACGGCAGGAGGGAACCACATCCAAGCGCTTCCTCCGGCATAGCGGGTCAGCCACAGCCCTGGGGTACTGGCTGGTGGTGGGAGGGCCCCCGGCGCGCTCTCCACCAGGCAGCACCTGGCTGGGAGGATGCCTGCTCGTGCCCGGGGCTGCCGGGGAATGCCTGCCACGTAGTGCAGCTGAGGAAGCCCAGCATTAATCTGGCAGCGCACTCCTCTGTTTACTTTTGCTCCACTCAGGCACAGCTATTCATTTCCTGGGACACGGGAGGCCGTGCACAGATGCTGACTAGGCGGACTCCCAGCAACGGAGCCACGGCACAGCAATTCAGCACCAAGTGCAGCTACACAATCCCTTTAATCTCGGCTAAAGATTTTTCCTGGCTTCCTTTAATAAACCCTGATTACCATGGATAGAAGCTTTTCTTTGGGAACTGACACGGAGAGAAAACTCATATGGAGACATTGTCGACAACTCCCTCAACAAAGGCCAGCTTCTAACTTCGGCTAAAGCCCTTCTCCCTGAACTTACAACCTGTCCCATGCCTGACGGAAAATGAAGGCAAGTCTCTCCCTGAGGACATCCCAATTCAGAGCATCTTCTCTTTGGAGCTCGCCACAATGAACAGACTCCAGTGAAAGCTGCAGCTTGTCCCAAACAGAGAGATTTATTTCAGCAGCGGGTTGTTTGCAAGACACTTAAGCTTCAGCGAAACAGAGCAGCTTAGACCCATCACAGATCATTTTATTCAAGCACTCAGATGGTGCCCATCATCTTGGTACCTGCTCATCCTCCAGAAGCACATTAAGTGATGGGATTAACATTTTTCATGACTGGGACTTCTCTTCCTTCCTTCCTGGTTCCCTGTATGAGAAAACTGCATGCAGGTATTTTTCCTCTCTGCATTTCCGACTGAGTTATCTGGTTCTTCTCACAGCAAAAGCAGGTCAGAGCAGTGCTCCTTTCTGCTTGGAAGGGAGAGGAGAGAGGCTTGTAACGGTTTCTGAGGTCCTCCAAGAATTTACTCCACAGAGACTCGAGTGAAAATCAAATATTCACTGCCACAAAAACAAGAATGGAGTTTTGAGTGGTCACGGAAATAACCAGACCGGGGTTAAATTCTCTTTTCTGGAGCAGACTCCACATGTGTCATCATGGGTAAGTTCCCCTCTGCACAGCACCAGTAACAGTATTTTTCTGTCTCCTCAAAGTATTCTGAGAATAAACCTCTTAAAATTATTCCTTATTCCAATAACTGGGGCAATATAGACCACCAGAAAACAGACTATTACCGCAAGAGCACACAAAGCCATTTAACTGAACCATGTCACAATAGTGCCGAATATTGCTGACTGACTGCTACTGTTAAACTCCTACTTTGAGTGGGAAACTGTATTAAACGATATAGGTCCAAAGCAATGAGATAGGTGGAGAACTGCCAAAGCACAGAGCGATAAGCTGACCTCTGCTTTAAAGTCTCGTTCTTCTCCCCCGAGGAAGCCACTGTACGCTCCCGGGGCTCCGTTCCCCCCACTGCGAAGCAGAACTCTACAGCATTTAATGGAGATGCAACTCTCACGGGGAGAGCAGGACAGGCAAACTAAAGGGCACTTTACGGTTTAGGAGACCCTGATCAAATTGGGACTTTAGACAGCAACAGGAGTAAACACTCCTCTTGCCCCTGAAGGGAGGAGTATCGAGAAGAAAATGAACTGGGTTTAATCCCAGCAAGTCTTCCCAGCTTGTAGCTCAGTTACAACATTTTAGAACAGCCTTGAGGAAAATGGTTTTTCCTTAATTGCAGGAGTCAAGGCTACACTTGCAATTTCCCTTCCAGATGTAAGAGCCTCTGATGAGTACCCAAATTAAGCATTTAAATTTTCTGGACCTGGTCCATTACTGAAGTGAGCCCTAAAACACCACTGCAATCCCCACACAGCAAGGAAGAGCCTCTGACCTCTGGTTTCTCCATGAATCAGCAGGTAGCTATTTTCATGCTGGCTCAGGCTATACAACATGGCTTATGTTGCACCGAATGCCACTGAGTGGATGTTTCCCCCTGCTTTGCAATCTTAGGAAGATCTGTGAGACACAAGTCCTCTCTCTCAGAGCAAAGTATTGTGATTAGCACCATATAAATCCACAAAAAGCCAAAACCAGTAAGATAGAGACCATACTTCAGCTGTCTCCCCGTAAGCGTGGTACAGAGAGTAACTCCCTATTCACCGTGACTTTATGGTCACTGGCTATTTCTTTCTATAGACCTATATAAGCCACCAGCAAGGATAAAACTGGGACTTAAAAGAAAAATAAAACCTTTAGACCTTGATCTACTGGTTGTTGGAGCACTGAGATCTATATTTGGAGCTGGGGAAACCGCTTTCAAAGAAGCCCCTGTCTTCGAGGTCTGAGACTTCACTACATGTTCAAAAGGCAGCTGGAGCAGAGCAGCCTAAAAGAGGCATGGATAGGCCAGGGTGCAAGCACCAGGACTGGGAAAATCAAAGATGGTACCAGGATGGGGAATAAGGGGTACCAAAGTTTGGAAGAAAACTTCAGAGGAAGAAAGAGTTGGTGAACTTTCTGCATAGGATCAGGCCATCTGCACATCAGATGAGCCTTCATTACCATTGACCAACACTTAATAGTTCAAAGAATGTAGGAAATTCTCCCAAATAAAGAGTATAAAGCTGGCCAGCCCAACGTTATTGATTTGGAGCAAGGCGGGGTATTAACAGGAATCAGGAATCTTGTAGAGTAAAGGCTGTCTTTCTACGCAGCATTCAACATAAAGCTTCCTCCTTTCATTTTAGGACAAGCATCCGACGCACTCTGAAGCATCAACTGCTGGCCATAGATGGAGCCAATGGAAAGCGCTGATGCAGCAAATCCCTAGCCTTCATCTTCCTGTGAGAGGGGCTAAAGAGAGCAAACTAGTGAGTACAGTTCCAGGTTTGCAAGTACATCCCATGCAGGGGGTGGCTGGACCATCTCAAAACTTACCCCGAGCTTGAATCCACAACATACATTATCACGAGCGACAGTGAATCGTGCTGACTGGTATTTGTTCGTCTAAACCTAAAGGAAAACGTCAGTGTCAGAGAAGTTTACTGCAATTATTAGCAATATTTTTATGGTGACGGCTGTACTGGAGATTAGGAAGAAAAAAATAGGCATTTTTTTGTTTCATTTAGTCTGCACATACTAATTCTGTCCAAGGCTAGGGACTGAGTGCATAAATGCTTGTGGATGGGTCTTTGTGCACCCATGAACCCCGCCAGGCCCTCACATGCCATTTCTTTTATCACTCCACCTTTTACGCGCTAGGTCTTTCACCAACCGGGTGCTGTCTTCCAGCCCCTAAGCAGTTCAGATGTGGGACGGTTATTTCTTTGTGTTACCCAGGATAATTAGGTCTCTTTCTTGTTAGCATGTCACTTGCAAGTGTTAAGTAGAAGTAGTCTGTTTCTACTGTTTATATGACTCTGCGGTCTTGAAAAAAAGGTCTTTAAAAGATCTCAAAATGCTGTCTCATCCATAGTTCTGCCCCAAAGTACACCAGATCCAAATTCCAGGCATCTTCTGCAGATATAGGATTGCTCCAAAGAGAGAAATTTTCTGCACATATGAAAAAATATAACGCAATATTTTGAACAATATCGATCTACTGCATGTTTTACTTGTCCACGGAGACCTTTCCCTTGCAAATATAATAAAAACTACCTTAAAATCAGGTATAAAATTTAACTAAACTAGCTTAAAAGAACTTTTTGTCAAGTTCTAAATAAAGCAAGGCTCGCTGCAGCTGCTGTGTTCAGAGAGAATATCCCTGTGAGTAAACCAAGATAGACCAAATGAGAGGTGTCTTCTTCAGAGGACTCCTCCTTAGAGTTCTTTGGCTAAAATCCCCACTTGACTTGGAGTTTTTGACAGTGAGGCTGAAGGACGGCTCAGATGCCGTCCAATCCAAAAGGAGAACAAGGCAGCAGGACTTTGATGGAGAGTGCAATGCATGCCCTAGCAGAGGCATCCTGCTGAGAAACAATTTCAAGCCCAGCAGCGGCAAGGGGGATTGATGCTACTCGTTCTGCTGATAGCCATAACGCCTCAGTGTGGACACAACCCTGATAAGCAAGGGCTTTGCCAGCATTTCCGTCAGTACCACCAAAAAAATACATAAATAAATCATTACAAATTTGCTACTAATTTGCTCTTCTAGTGACTTTGTCACCCCAAGGCAAAGGACAAGCCTAGCTATCTGCCAATCCATACAAAGGCCAATGAGAAGTTATTCTTAGAGACCTGCCTGGCTGTTGCTGTAGAATAACTAGCTCCAAATCATACTTGACAGTCTCAAGATACTGCTGAGCCAGACAGGCCAGATATGGCTAGGGTCAGATAGAGACAAGAGGCAGAGTCGTGCTAGTGCAGGGAAAAGATAATCACATGCTATACTTGTTAACAGAAAGATTATGAGAGAGCTGATATGTTGTATACACGTATACTGGCTGCATTTGCAAGGAGATGCACAAATCTACCCTGCACGTCCTACAGACAGGGTTTTTTTCTTTTTTTCCCCATGGAATTGTGCAATGCCTGTACACTCTGTGCAGGCCAGAGTGTGCATGCGTAATTGCGCAGGGCAGTAATAGCAACACCTATAGCTCAGGTTGCCTGACATGTTCTATTCTAAGACTGGGTTTTAAGGTCCTCATTACTTTGACAAACCTTAACTACTCAGGAGACAATTTCCCCAACTCAGTGTCTGCCTCAGGCTAATATCTCTGTAAAAAGTTGCATTCAGAATGGCTTGGGCCATTCTGAGAACTAAATTAGGAGAAAAAAAGTTTTTGCGGGTTCTTAATTTTTCCTATATTTGACCTTGCTAGTATTCTTTCCTCCATCTCACTGGAAAGCTTCCGTGCTTTGGAGCAGGCATTAAAAATTGAGAGGGTTCTCTACTGCTGTCATGGTGATCTTTCCCCATGGAGAGACTTTTGGAAAGTCTATCCAAATTTCACCAAGTTACAGCTTCTAATAATCACATTCTGTACATGGCATGTAAAGGCTTTGCATTTTCCAGTCCTCCCAGGATAGATTAAACAGTGCTTGAGCTATTGCCACAGAGACAGTTTGGGAAAGGAGATATGGGCAGAGACTGGGACATGTGGAGAGATCTCAGGACCAAAACATCCTCTCCTCCCGAGTGAGGCATGGATCCCACGACTCCAGAGTTTTCGAATGCCCCTAAGATGAGTCTCCACCAGCTGCTAACACATCTGGAGGACAAGTCAGTCCCATTAAATTAAAATTCTGGGGCGAAGTTCCAGTGCTGTCTTTCCCAAGGTCTTGGAAAATATGTATCAACATGAAAAGTGCAGCTACAGAAAGAAAAAGAGAAAAAGAAAAAAAGAGAGAATATAATTGCTTAACTATATAGAGCGACAGATGATATTCCGTAACTTCAAACTATGGCTGCCTAGGCAATGTTATCCAACATATTCCCAACCCTTCTATATGCAGAAGGTCTTCTTGAACAAAGGACAATACTATGCCTTCCTAATTCCTTCTCAAGAACAATATTTAACGCCAAGCCTAGAGCTAGTTATCCATTTATAAGACAACAGAATCAGAAGCAACAGCCCTCATTTAGGGAGTATATGTGTATATAGATTAAAACCATATACACGACTTGGGAGGCTTACATGGCACAGAGCCTGATAATATGATGCCACTGTTATTTCGCTGTCCTGCTGCAATTCACACCAGCACATCACACCTCGTCCTGAAGCATCCATCCAGCTCCTCCCCAGTAAAATAGCACAGCTGCTGCTCGCAAGGGCAACCAGAAGCTCTAGTCAAAACTCTCATGCTAAGAGCCAATCCCCACCTCCAGAAGGTTTCAGGCTAGAAACACCCCGAGGAGACAGAGGCTCAGAGAGGTGAAGAGCCTTGGCCAAGGACCCACAGAGTCAGCGTGGCAGAGCCACAAATACAGCCCACGCACTTGATCCTCAGCACAGGGCCACAGTGACAAGACTAGGTATTCTGCAGAGCCGAGCACACAGCACCAGGAGAACCTCCTCTACAGCTGATGTTCATTATTAAAGTCTCCTTCAGTGCGTGCTTTAGGAGTACACACATCCCCTCACGGCTCCAGAGCTGTAAATTCCCATCGGTCTTAACTCATCCACTCCATGAGCACTTGCCAGCATCAGCAGAATAGGTGCAAGGACACTTGAGTGTCTACTTGCCAGCATCAGCAGAATAGGTGCATTATACACTCGAGTTTCATTGTTGGAGCTACTTTAGATAGTTCAGTGGTCACGTATTCAGCCATGCATCTGCATGGAAGCATTCAGGGCATCCCAAAATGGTATGGCACAGAGTCCTGCTGCTGACACCCAGTGCAGGGCCAGCGGTGCGGGGAGAAAGGGAGGACCCATCTCCTCCAACTCCTCTGCTACTAAAGCTTTCTGCAATTTAAATGTGCAGTTCCCCACACAAACAAACACTGAAAGGAGACGCTTTCAGGTTGCCATCAACAACGGCACTTCCTAGACAGCTTGCAAGCACATCTGTAAAACGCAAATTCTCTCTTATTCCTTTCATAAACATCTTCCCTAGGCCAGACGGTCCGACATGAATGGAAGCTGCAGGTGCACTGCACTTTGCAGGATCTGACCCTTTGCTTGCACAAACAAATGCCTGGTCCTATCAACAAATCATCCTAGAGCAGCCACAAGGAGAGTGATGCAATTGTTTTAGCTATTTGCACAGCCTCATAATTGCAGATCCATCACCACAAGGCATTAGCTGTGTTAGGATAGGTGTTGCAGAGAAAACCCAGCACCAGAAACAGGCGTATGAACCCTTTCAGTCTACAAAAGAACGAATATTTTATGGGTTTGCAATAACCTGTGGTTTCAGATCTGGGTCATACTACCCAGAAGAAAGTTGCTTATTTGCTCAGAGTCAGCTGCAAGCAAAATGTCACCCCAAACTCTAATTTAATCCAGATCCAAACACCATCTGCTTTGTTCATCTCTGCTCACACGCAGTCAAAAGGCACCTGTGTCTGAGGCGAGGGGCATTTTAAACGTGGGGGCGTGGGAAGGTCATCTCTGTTCATGAAGTGCTACTCATTTAGAAATGGGAGCCTTGATAGCACAGGATGCAAGACCTGAATGCCACAAAGCAGACGCACAAATGCTGAAAGGCTAAGATCCACAGGGGACTGTTTTCCGCACGCCCTTTGCTCCCCGTGGGCCACTGCAGCAGGCAAGCCTGCACCTTTTTTTCTCCTGCTACCCCCTCTCTGCTCATCCCGTTCCCCAAAACGGGGTTTGTCCCTCTCTTCCCTCACCCTGCCGGATTCAACAGCTGCAATTTGGAAAGCCCTCCAGAGCACTGGAGACTCCCTAAATACCGTAAGAAGCATGCAAACCCATGCACATACACCACTGCCTTTTTGGGATGCCATCAGAACCGCTTCAGCCTGAATCAGAAGCTCGTGGCAAGCGTCATCTGTGCTCCTGCCCCGGGGGCCTCGGATAAAGGGGCTGCAGCATGCGACGCGTTGCCGCAGCCCCCGGCTCCTGCACGGCTGGGACGCAGAGCCTGGGGCTGGCTGCAGAGGCTTGGGTGGCTGCAGACGGATTTGAATAACGTGAGCCAAGTGCTCAAACGGGAGGAAGGGCTGAGATTCGCCTTAGCTTCAGTAGTGAGAGCCTGCAAATCTTCTGTTCCGGCTGCAAGCTGCTGCGAAAAAGTGGAGGGCAGAGGAAGGGAAATGCGGTCTGCATCGCTGGTGCCGTGGATCTGAACCGGACACTACTGGGTTTACGGGAATAGATTTGGGGAGCACATCCAGGTGCCGCTTTTGGGCTTATTTATTTTTTAACCTCATGAAATAAAAGCATAGCAGTGAGTAGAGAGAGGAACTTCTTTGAAGAACAACATGCCCATCTAGCATCCCCCTTTGCCCAACTAACCCCACCTTAGGCCAACACGTCAACACTCAGGATACGTAGGGGATGCCAAGCAGACCAAATCACCAGTCCAGCCAGGCCAGTGTTGGCCGTGGCTCAATGTTATGGGCCCATCAAACTCAGACCTGTTCTCTATCACTTCAGTAAGCAGGAAATCCTCATCTGAAAGGAGCCTGCGGCACACAGCTGTGGCCCTGCCGAGCACCAAAGGGCTGGGAGAAAAACCTTAACGGCGTACGCAGGTGTAAAACCGTGATCTCAATTCAGTGTGTTATTAAGAACGAGACATTTCTCCTCTGCCGCCATCTGCATCCCGCACACCCCAACAAATCCAGCACTTTCCCCTTTCAGCTATAGCGCTCTCTCTCATTTGGTGTAGAAAACCCCCTCTCTTCTTTACCTTCAAATCACACTGCAAGGTAGCACTCAACAGGCTGTTTCTCTGGTGCAATCAATGCAGACTAACATTATGCCAAAAACCATGACCTCAGAACAGAGATTGTTCTACCAAGGTGCCAGAAATAATACAAATAAACTCTTCTTCTCTCCTTTACTTTATATCTACAGCTCCCACACATTACTACCAGTGGGGCTTTAAAACTAAAACAGACGGGGCCTACGTGGCTTGAATTTATTCTGGAAATTTATCTCTTCTGTTGAAAGCTCTATGTTTGCTTGATCTTCCTGCCTTCCAAGTCCTACAAGTGCCACATGTTGCCCAGCTGGATTCCTGACAGAGAAAGGAAACAGGAGGGAAGAGAGAATAGATTAAAATATATACACACATACATACATATATATATTTATATAGATATATGTGAACGCAATGGCCAAAGTTTTCGAAAGTTGTGAATGTACTTGAGCAAAGTAGCTTCAGATAACTCCAAGGAACCTATGTTCAGGAAACACAGAGCTCTTGAGCTTCCAAAAATCAGATCTCTGCAGATAGGAGGAGAGAGGAAATTGAAATGGATTCTGCGTAGCTCTCCAAAGGACTTGCTACTCCAAACATCCTTAAGAACAGCTCTTGCAGGAAAAGATACGCAGAAAAAGCCATATTGGTGAAGGCTGAAGACAGGACAGCCAGAGAATTAAGGGATAGATCTGTGTGGTAGTAAGGGAAACACTGACTACTTTTAATTATCAGACTCGCTGGACTGCGAATATTAAAACAATATTGTGTTTGTTCAGCTCCCCGAGAATTTGTGCACCCTCATTAGCCTTAACGGAGAAATACCCTCAGGCCTCAGGACAGCTGATGGGCACACCCGGATATCAGCAGCAATGTCCATTTTCAGTGTGCCAATCAAACTGAAAAGCAAGAAAAGCTAAGGGGAATAAAGCCTGCTCGTCTGAACCAGCTTTAAAAACAAATAAACAAGAAAAAAATCCGCTGAAGGAGAAAATTAAAAAAGTGTTATTTCCTGTGAAATGAAGTATTGTGCTCCTTCTGTAATAGGCTTGTGGAGAAAAAAAACTAAAAAAAAAAACACACAAAAATAAAGCAAACAATTCATTTCATAAATATGGGAGAAGGTCAGCTTTCTTCTCACCAATAACTCAGTCTCATAGGAGCAGAGCATGGCTTTTGATACAAGATAGATATTTGACTCTTTCCTTTGCCTAGAAAGGCTCAAACCCACATCTTCCACCCCTAAGGTCTCACCTAGCACATAACAGCATCAGCACAGACCACATGAGGTCTCTTCTGCCGCCTGCCCACCTCTGCAAGGCGCTGGGATACCCAGCTGAGTGTGGTCGTCCCAGCAGATGGACACCTCCATCCCTACCTCTAAGACAGTGAACCTTCGCTCAGGGGCTCTCTTTTCCCAGATGTTCCCGTGAGCAATGCTTCGCTGTATCATCATCACGACACACTCTTGGGCGATGAAAGAAGCAGGTTCACATCCTCCCAGAGATCAAACCTCACCAGATTTCTTCACTGCTGAGCTATGGGTTGAAGAGCATGAGATACCCCTGACTCTGCTCTCTCACCTTGCGCTGGAGCTTCAATAAGCTCCTTGGAAAGCTCAGGCTGTCTTGAGCCTGCAGCTAGCAGAAGTCTCTTCTGCTGATAAGAATTCTTATTCCCTGAAGGAAGATCTCCTTTTCATCTGCCCCATCTTCACTTCATGCTCATTTTTTCCACAGTCTTATTAAAAAGGCTGTACAAAGCCTGTATCAGCAAAATGCCTACATAAAAAGGAAAGTTTTCTTACAGTTCTGGGTCCCTAGGCACCGCAACATGGGAAACTCCAGGGTGTGAGTGTCCTAGACGGACACCCCACAGAAATAAGTGACATGCCTGCAAAAGCCAAATTAAAACCAGAGGAGTTACTCAAACCGTTTGAGGGACTGACCTTCGCAGAGACAAGTTCCAGGCACACAACATATTACAGTCTAAAATCTGCTCCCTCTTAACACTGAACTCGAAAAAGGATGGATTTTTCCATGTTTGAGAGCAGGCAGTTGCAATAACCTTCTGCCTCAGCCCGGCAACAACGAGACCTTGGAAGAGGCTAATTATGGGTGGCAAAGTAAGTCACCAACTAGCAGAGAGCGGCAGAGAAGAGACAGGCGAACACAGACCTGCACCTGGAGACCTTTTTGTTTATTGTAAAATAAAGCTGCTCCACTGTCTGTGTTACCGGGGAAAGGGAAGCAAGAGGCGAGAGAAAACAAGCATCAAATCAAACTGCTGCTTTGCAAGACACCTTTTCTTCCCCCTTCCAACTCCTGCAAAGCTAAGACACCTTTTCTTCCCCCTTCCAACTATCTCCTGCAAAGCAAAGGAGCATGGTCCTTAAGGATCACACTGTGACTTTTCCCTATCCTTGCACAGCTAAAGAAAAGTCTGAAAATCGTCCACACGTGCAAATTGTAACTCATCCCCACTCCCCTCAAAAGGAGGAATGCGAAGGCAAGAAAGCAGCTTGTGTGGGGCTGCTGCTGGGAGGGAGTGCATCTCTGCACCCCGTGCATTAACCAGCCAGAACATGAGGCCATTGGGGTCTTCCCCGAGCATGAGTACATGGAAGAGCGAGGACCAAGAAACCAGATCGCCACCCGGTCGCAATCGCTTGGGGATCTGCTCCAGGCTCTTGGCAACCTGCTGCTGCCTCACTTGAGCGCTCCTGAAAAGCATTTCAGCAATGGAGCTCACAGGAAGCTGCATTCCCAAACACAAACATTTTTTTCAGGATTGCACCTGTCCTGCGGTGGAGTGAAAGCCAGAGCTCAATGGTTTCCCTCCTCTCTCTCCGCCATGTCTCCTCCCCACAAGCTAGAAAGAGCCCCAATTCCACCAATGTCTGAGGGAGAGCACAGCAAAGTGGGAGAGAAAAGGGAACTGGCCTTGCCCTAAGTCACTCCTTCTGTGTCCTAACCTTGGATGTGCAGCCAGGCTGCTCTTTCTCCTCTAGAGAGCTCACCCCGGACTTGCAAAATCTTTCCCGAATTGTGTGCTAGCAAAACTGGCACCGATTTGGGAAAAAATGCAGAGTGGACAGACTGGCATTTTCTAAGCATGTATATTTTGCATGTGTGCATACATATGTGCGTACAAATGTGTGTGGTTTATACATTATACATATATATAATATATGCATGTGTGTGTGTGTGTGTGTGTGTGTATATGCATCTGTTCATATTTGGAAAAAGGGGACCCCAGTCTCAATTGCAAGTGAGTGAGAGAGCCAGGCACATGCTAGCTGTAAGATGTAATGAAAAAACAAAATCTCGTCCTTGTGTGATAGGACAGTCAAGACTCCTTCTCCAAAACAAAAGCAAAAAAAGGTCCAAACAGCATCCGAGTAACTGCTTTTCTCTGGCTTATGCATAAGAGACAGATAGATAGAGAGAGAGAGAGAGTGTGTGCGTGTGTGTGTGTGTGTGTGTGTGTGTGTTTGTGTGTGCACTCCAAATGAGTCAAAGTCTGAGGGCTGCCTTGTTTCAGCCATTGACTGTGCCAATGACAGCAGTTCCTGACAGCCTTTAATAACACCACTTACAGGCTCGGGAGTAGGGGGGGAGGTGAGCGGTTCTCCTGCAGGCTGGTGCGTAATCCATCCCGCATCCTTGCCAAAACGTGTTACAGTCACCCACTGAAGGCTCCGTAATTGCAGCCCATGCCAGGAATGTGTTATCCTAAGAGGCAATAGAGGGCACAATCGGGAGAGCAACCTGTGGCTCCCTGGGGTCCCACCGCCCTGGGGTCAGGCAGGGATGGACCAGGTGAGGTCTGGGGGGCTCAGCCCTAAGGTGCTTGCCAGAGCAACACAGGGTACCTCTACGCGTTCACACTGCCAACGTCCCGGCTTACATGGGGAAGCATCCAAGTTGAAAGGAGTTATCTCTACTTTCACCCTGACTGGGAGAAATGAAGAGAAATATGTGCAGACAAGAAAGATACACCGAGAATATGCACCTGAGCAAGCCCTGCTACCCACCTGCGCCTCAGTTCCCCTCCGTGAACATGGGAAATAGGTCCCTGCCAGGTCCCACAGAAGCTGGAGAGCTCAGTTGGGCTTGTGAGAATGCTAAAAATCCTCAGCTTAGCCCAGATTTGGAAAGCTTTGGAAAGAGCTTCAGAACACATCATGTTCTGAATATTTACTTCTCCAAGCTAAAGAGAGACCTACTCCACACACCGCCTCCTGGAGAGGCAGAAAAAACAGGCGTATGAAATAAGAAGGAAATGGAAATCGACTTGATAGCTGCTTCCCCTTCCTAATGGATAATACTTACTTAATTATGCCCGCTTGCCATTTCCTTTTCCTGCTTTTTTTGAGACATTATGCAGAGAGAAATTAGTCCTAAAAGTTGTTATTTTCATTCAGAGGCTTCCCTTTGAGCTATTTGCCTTGCAAAGACAAGCGAGGGCAGCAACTCCATTATAAGGAAGAGAAAAAAAGTAAAAATAAAAAAAAAAAAACCTCCTGAATGGCTCTGACAGGCATAGTATTCAACGTCCAACTCCTGCCGCGTGCAGCTCACCTCCCTTCCCTTCTGCATCCTCCTCCAAGGAAAAGCGATGCAGCTACAACCTCCTGGCCAGACCCCTCACTGGACCACAGTGAGAAGTTCCTGGGATCCAGGAGCCATCAGGGAAGGAAAGCCAGTGGCTGCAAAGCCCCTTTGGGTCCAGCAGCCAAAAGGACTCTGTTTTCAGCTGCAGCTTGCAGAGCAACCTGAAGCTTCACAGTGTGGTTGTGGTGGGATCCAAGGTGGCATCCCGCACCGGTGGCATCCCTTGAATGAGCTCTCTCCTAAGGTATAAGCCCTAAAGCCCAGTATCCAAATAGCCTGCTACAGGTTAGGAGGGAGAAAAAGGCAGGAACAACCCCAGGCTCATGTCCACATCAGCAACCCTACCAAAATGTGAAAGGTTTTCATTTGGTACAAATAGCCACTGGGCAAAAGGATGTACCCTATCCTTTTAGGGGAGGTCCCACTGAGTGCTGTGTACGACTCTAGCAGGACTACTGGTCCTGTAAAACACTAGGGAGCATCTCTCACCCCAGCAAGGTGCTCCTAACCATCGATGCCGCAGAGACCGGCTAGGTGTGACCTTGTGGGGACAGGGCAGGGGAAGGCACGCTCTCACCGGTACCCAAGGAGATATAGCCCAAGCAAAAGCACACCTTCATGCACTTCCACCCTGCTTGGGGATGCATGCAGCCTCAGAGGCCACTTCTGGAAGGCAGCTCTATCTCCTGGGGATGCAGAGAGCCCATGGGGTTGCCGGGGTTTCTGGCAGATGGAGGGGTGAGCCTTAAGCCTTCTGTACCCCCATTGTGGACCTCCGTTTCCCTCCCTCAGCCTCCAAGCTGCGCTGCCCTGGAGGGACCCCTGAGCCCTTGCTCTTGCACCGGGTGTTTTTCGGTCTTCTCTATGGGACGCTCAGCTTCCGAGAAGGGAAATACAAAGCCCAAAGGGATCGACTTCAAGCGATGAAACAGGCCTTGTGAAGGGAAGGTGTTTTATTCTTGCTCAAGTCGGGGG